CTCTGATAATCATCTCCTGTTCAGATGATAGTGGTCACTTACCTGCGTTTCTCCCTAAACCAGAGAGTCAGTGATTCGGTGGTACCCCACCCCTCCTGCAATCGCTTTAGGTCTGCAGATCCTCAGCAGCCCGCTTCAGTTTTGTTTCTGTCTGTTTGTTTTAATAAATGTTTTGAAATGTCCTACTGGCTGTCTCACCTTAAATACTGGGTCCATCTGTCGCATTTTCAGACATAAAATTCTTAGATTCTGAATGTATATTGACCTAATAAGACATAGAATTTTAAATAAACCTAATTGAATAGAAATTTCACTTCATGCAGCTATGTTAATATATTTAAATCCCTTGTTCTGTTTTTTAATTTCATGCTTTTCTGGGCCCCCATGAAAACATGCTGCCCGGCCCCGGGTACATTTGGTCTAGAACCGCCACTGTATAGAACTGCAGGAGAGGAACAAGACACTGGAATTGTAATAATAAAAAATAAAGGGACACCTGTTAGAATGACTAAACAATCTGCAAAGAAAATCCACAGATAAAATCCATGAGAGATCTTTATAAATTATAAATTAACATTCTGGGGTTTTCAACTTCTCTATTTTCTAGGGGTTTAACGTTTTCCAGAAATAAAAAGGATCCTGCTAAAGTGATGGAAGCTACGGAAAAGGATTAGGGCCACTGGAAAAAAAAAAAAGTTAACTGATTTTTAAATTTTATTTCAGTTTAGTATGGGAGAAAAGTCAGAATTCTGACTTTATTCTCAGAATTCTGACTTTTTTTCTTAGAATTCTGACTTTAATCTCAGAATTCTGACTGAATTCTGACAATAAAAAAAGTCTGAATTCTGAGATTAAAGTCAGAATTCTGAACTGAAATAAAATTTAAAGATCAGTAATTTCTTTGTTTCCAGTGGCCCTAATTCTCTTCCGTAGGAAACAGTAAAGGATCCAATGAAGTGTTTTTCTGACGCCCTCAGGTTGACAGGAGGTTCCTCTGGAGCAGAGGTAGGTGTGTTTAGTTGGTGCAGCCTCCTGCCTTCATAAATCTGCGTCCAGCCAATCAGGAGGCTCATGGTAATCCCAGTCGGATGAAAACAGAACGCGCCGGGAGCGCAGAGGACTCTTTAATCTGCGGAGGGGAGACAGAAGGAGACCAGGAACCAGGACATGTCCGCTGCTCCGCAAAACTTTCCAAACACAGAGTCGCGTTTTGGATCTTTGTGAGACGGAAGTGACGCCTTCAGCCTCCTCCAGCATCCCCCCACAGAGGACTGATTGTGCAGCCGCAGCAGCTTCCAGGGACCCGGCGCGTCATGTCGTGCGGTGACGCCGCGGAGCAGAGCCGCAGGTTCAGCCTGCTGCACTGGGATCAGGTCCGGCGGCTGGACTCCATCCTGGGGGAGAGCGTCCCCATCCACGGCCGCGGGAACTTCCCCACGCTGTCCGTGCAGCCCCGGCACATCATCCAGGTCAGATAGAGTTAAAGACTGGCCCTTAATCCAGCCCAGAATAAATAACCTGCATTTGACAACATTTAGACAGAAACATGTAAAGACAGTGAGGAGTTTCATTGCATGTTCCATTCAAGCAGAAAGGGGATAAAATCATTTATTTCTTGAGTAATTTCAACTATAAAGCACCTTTCATTCAGAAGCAGAAGATATGATTAGAGCTTCATTAAATAGTAACAACATAAGTATCAAATTAAAACCTCTTTCCTTTCTTATTATTACTGCTATGGGTTAAAATGTTGAGGACAAGATGTTGGCCCAGCTGGGAGCAATAGTAAACACATCAATATTTACTTGTGTGAAAGAAAGTTCAGCAAAGTAAACTTTGTAACATCTGAACTGCAAAAATGAAACATATAAATCACATGTTTCTTCCAATAAGTGTATTTTTCAAAGACAATTAGCCTGTGATTAGAAATAAACAACTTAATGTTCGGATTTCTTATTTGAAGGGCACAATTGGTCTTTTCATTTAAAGATCATCTGATTTAAATGCTAAAATATACTTTTTAAATGCTTTTTCTTCTTACTTTTAGAGAAGCTTTTGCTGCGGGGGAGTCTATAAATGGAGTTTTCCTGCATCTCTGGGCAGCAGCTTAGTTTGTGAGAGCCTCTTGCCAGCTCTCTGCATGCATCTGACCTCCACATGGTCCAATAACTCACTGAAAAACTAATGCAACCCTTTTTGGCATTTACTTGATCATATTTAGTTACTTTAACATAATTGTTTCATGTCAGCAGGTTAGGACATAAAACAATTGTGTTAAAGTAACTAAATATGATTAAGCAAATGCCAAAAGGGGTTGCATTATTTTTTTTCAATGAGAATCCAACACATTTTTCTCAATAAAAAAGGATTGTAAGCTCACTTTATAGAAAAAAAACCTAAATAATATAATACTATTTTAAAGTAGATTATACTTTGAATTAGGCTGAAACAATTAATCACGATTAATCGATGATTGAAATAATCGTCAACTAATTTAGTATTTGATTAACTGTTAACTGGAGTATCGATACTCTAAGATGTGCCTGTGGCTGACAGCAAACCACTTAGAGCAGTAATTATATATAAATAAACTATATAAATATTTTGCATTTAGGATATAAAAAAAATATTTTTTGTCTGTCAATAAGCTCTATCCAGGACTCCTCAAGTGGAAAAGTTTTAGTTTTACCTGGTTTAATTTTGTAAAAAGTGTTCTTTAAGGAACCTTTGGCTATCCGATTTTTAAAGCTGTAGAGAAGTGGCTGTTCCAACTGTTGCAGTTCCGAATTCTCCCGAGTGGTGCACGACTTTACACGAGTGAATAAAGTGAATGTGATTGGTTGATTATCAAGAGGGGGGGATATTTGTGGCAGAAGGTTCGCAAGCAAGTTTGATTGTAGCCGGTTTGTCGGAAGCATCTTGCTAACCAGTTAGCAACTTAGTGCTAGTAGGTTCCCAATGGGAAATTCCAATGGGACCAAGTAGCACTAAATTGGTGACTTAGAAACGACACTGTCAAGGAACACTATGGACAGAGGAAACATGCAAGAGAAGGAGAGTTTAGTTGCGGAGGTCGTTTTTTTTAAATAAACATTTTCTAACTTTTTGGACAATATGGTCTGATAAAGAGTACATTTATATACACGTTTAAGCCAGAATGATTTAAAATTGAAATATGACTCTCCTATGACTTTGAATCAGAAAAATAATTGATAGATTAATCGATTTGCAAAATAATCATTAGTTGCAGCCCTACTGTCAATTATTGTGAGGTGACAATAATACTCTCTGGCATCAGTCAGACCAAACACTGGGACTTCAGTTTTTCACTAGTTTACAACCACATTTCCTGAGTTCAACCTTTTCCAGTGGTTCCCTTTATTTAAGCTGACTTACTGGTACTGATCAAGGGGAAGCTGTGTTCCTTGATGTTTTTCAGGTGTCATATGTCTGCCAAATACTGTATATCCCTGAAATGATATCATCAAAGGTCATCCTGATGGGGGTGGGTGGGGGTGGGGGGGGAGCAAAACTGCTCAAACACACATGTGTTTAAAAGGGCTCTATCATCAAGTAGGCCCCTACCATCTGCTCCCAGCAGCCCCCTGCTAACGTATTTCCTTCATTATACACTCCTGTAGGCAACTGAGACCCCAAAGAGTTTTTTTTTCCTTTTTGGTCGAACCACAGTATTTTTTTATGGACCTCTCAGAGAGAAGCTTTAGGAAAAATTCGCCCACCACGTCTTCCACAGAGGCTATCTGTTACTGCTGACGAGTCCAGTGTGATTTTTGGTAAAGCTTTTTGTTTTTTGATCTAGTCTGGTAGATTTTTTAAAGTTAACATCTTTGAGAAATGTGAGAAAAAGATCTATTTAATGTTGTTTGTTTGTCTTTTCCATAGGTTAGGTTTCTACAGTATATCCTAGAAAAAGAGATACAGATTAATCTATTTTTGGGCAAAAAACCTGTGGGTCGTATTCAGCTTGAACATTATCTAATATGAAGGCTTCCCTTGTGGAGGTGAAGTGACTAACTTCACAGTCCATCTCATAGCAAGATAAAAAAAAGTCAAACCGACAAAAACCCCTGATGATTTCTGATGAAATGTGGATTCTTTTCAAACACAGTTTGCTGCTGCTAAGGCATATTTCTTGAGCACAGGTGTTTAAATAATTGTTTCTTTAAATAAATTGCCAATATGCTAATGTTCCAGTGCAAATATTATTTTACTTGAACCTTTATAAGTCTGGTTTGGGCTTTATCATTATTACACAAACTTTATGGACCTGTTAAGCTGCATTTATGCTAATTGAAGACACTTAGGCCCTGTTTACTCCACAACAACCCGTTGAAAAATTTGACATTTTTCTCTTTCAATTAACAAATCTACATTTAAAACGGTTTAATTGCAATGTCTGTATGCACAATACTGGTAGAGATGCTAAGATGATAGGATGATGCACTCTGGAATAGCGGTTTGGGGAAAAAAAATGTAGTTTTGGCGATATATTGTGATTTTTTGGGTGCCGGATATAATAATTTTTTTAGTTCCTAATATCAATAAAAAAAGGCTAATTTTCACCTAAAACAATGTGGTAAAATGGGCTATATCTGTACCCGCACTCTGGTAGATAGCGCTGAGGAGGCCTTTTGCCATATCTTTAGTTGAGGCAGTCACATTGCCCAACAACATGGATCCAAAAATAACAAAATGATCAATATATTCTGATGAACATATACATCACTTGTTTTATCAATACATTTAATTTGATAGCTTGTAATAATAGTGATATCACATTATCGAAATAATATAGTATCGTGATCCAAATATCGCAATACTCAGCCCTACTCTTAAACATTTTCTTTTTCACTCCAGCCCTGTAGGTGGTGGTGATGTGCTTAAAGCAGATTTGCAGCCTTATGCTACGGGCACTCAGGAAGCACGCAGCAGAAGCAGCAATAACACATGTGCAGCTTTATTAAACATCTTTGCTGCTCTAGCTGTGCGTTTGAAAAGTGGGTCTGATGCGCATTGGGCAGAGCTACCCTATGCTTTGCCTGTAACAATGGCAGCTATATTAGCTGTGATCAGTGGGTAAATATTAGTTTTGATATGTTTTTAACTGAGAAAGTCCACCTGAAAAGTTCTTCTGGGCAGTCAGTTCATCAAGATTACGATCCTGCCTTTAAATATTATTTGGCTGTTGGAGCTGCTCCGACCTCCGAACACCGGCGGCGCTCTGTCACTGGGCAGCCTCTGGCCCGGTCACCTCTTTGTGTTTTTCCGCTAGTGTTCACTGTGGCTGGAAGGCGGTTTTCACTTATCTACTCCAAACTGCAGGAACCACAATAATAAAATCTCACATATTTTGCAGGCAGGTCTTGACCTTTTAAGTTAATTTAGGCGTTTATAAAAAGTTACAGTGAAGTGATCACAGCCTTCTACATCAGCAGTGCTGTATCTGTCTCCCTGCCAGCTTGCAGAACATCTTCTCTGATTGGTTGATGTGTCGCGTCGAGCAGCAACAGTTCAATTTCTCCAACTACAGCAGCTGCTTTCGCAGCACATCCCATGGGTCAGATGCTCAGAAGCTCGTGAGGCGCTGCTTCAGCTGCTCAAGCATTACAGAACGAGGTGCAGCTAGTGCACAGATCAATGTATGGGAGTAGAATTATTTATCCGTACAAAATATAAAGTCCTGCATCAATGGACTCTGGACTAGCTAGTTTTTGTTTTTGAGGTCATGAAAGCAATGAAATTAGACATTTACATGTTCGTGGTCACTTAGTGCAAAGGAAAAACAAAATAAAATCACAACTTTGGTGAAAAAAAAAAATGTTCTTTGCAAAATCACTAAGCCCTAATAAGAACCTGACAAAGCATTTCTATATAAAAAAACTTGTTTTGTAAACAATGCATAAAAGAAGTATCTATAACGGATACAATGGGGTTTGGAAACAGTTTTCTTTGTACTAACTCCTGTCAAATTTGGCTAATAAATGTAGTCACAACAAAATAAATGCTTTGGAATTTAAAGGGGCCTTGTCATGCACTACACTGATTAAAAACTAAAACATAAAAACATATTTACACAAAACAAGGTACACCAAGTGTCCATCCTGAACGTTTTCTCAGTTCTTTTTGAGCCTTAAAATTATTTTTGTGCCACGATCTATCGGCAGACCTTAACATTATTGTATGCCGTCGCCATCTGCTGGCAGTACTTGCCCATCCTTCAAGTCGGCAGCTTTAGCACACGCTTGAGTAAACTCCAATGTTCCTTTCGTGTTTTGCGTGCAAGCATGATTTTGGGCTTTTCCTCTTTCTTTTCTCAACTTCGCTGGGAAAATCTGTTTGTTTAAAGTGCATCAATGCCCCTCAACTGCTTCAACGCCTCAACGGTCCAAAGTCCTTTTCAGAAATCAACAAACATTGTTGGTCTTTATGAATAGATAGATGTAGTCAG